AGGCAAACCCGTTCACTTACCTCAGGGATCATGAAAAGAGTTAAAAGTGATTCCCTTGTCATCAGATTTTGGTCCCGATCAGGATTTATCCCTTACTCCATTTTAGCCGGTCCTGAATATATATTGAGAGCTCCGCATAGTGAACGTCTTTCCAATGACCCGTACAATGACCTCTCAACAGACTACCAAAATAAACAGAATACCAATTAAGGGGGAGTTAATGTAAGTTATTTAGCCACGAATTTGCCCAGGGCAGGTTCAAAACTGCAACAATCATTGAAATGTCGCTCAGGTAGGGTTGTTAAATAAAGAAATGCTCATCACAGTGTCACCATCACAGTATCAACGCTGTTCTAAGCCTGTGGCACGCCCCTGACTCACCCCTCCCCGGCCATAACCACGACATGCACATAACGGCACGGGAGGAGCACGTGATCAAGCCTGTCAGGTGAGTCGAGAGGATTGTTGGCTTGCACGAAACTAAGAAAAAGCTTGACTGCGCGGAGTAAACACCCGATAATTTAATAAAAAGTTTAAATGAAATATAAGAGCAAATAAAATAAATAAATAAAATAAATAAATAAAATATAAACCTTGAGTCTATCGATTTTTTATATCATTTTTTTTTTAATATCATGGTCTATATATGTAGACTACCAGTGGCCTCTTTTTTTTCCAACTTATATTAACACTCCACAATAACAAAACCAGTGGTAACTACAAATGGGGGAATAATAAATAAAATCGGGCAACTGATCCGAGGGGGTTACTCCCTTTAATATATATACGGAGAGGCTACGCCCGAAAGAGGTACCTTTTTCAGGCTTGAGGTACACTGTAGAAGAGTAGGCATTTCACAAGTTTAGGTACACATTGAAGGGTAGGGAAATCGGTCATTTAGTCATTTAAAAGGGCCTTAAAATATTTCGCACAGACGCACTAATGTCGCACACGCTTTTAACTCGTTTCAGATCTTCCCTTCACATAGAAATTTATTCCATCCAATTGTAGATCGAAACACG